GCCTAGCTATTTTTGTTGTTGTTGTTGTTGTTGCAGTTGTTTAGCTGGCTCAGGGTGGTTTTGAACCTGCCATCCTTGGTGTATATGGCTGGCACTGTAACCACTGTGCGAAGGGTGCCGAGCCTCTGAATTCATTTTTAATTGGATGATATTTTTGATCTTATATGTAGACAGATAGTAGATATAATAGTTTTCCATTACAGTGAGGTGGGGTGTATCCCACCTCACTGTAATGGAATTGTATTTACAATTTCTTTTGTAAATTGCCTAAATTTTGTGAAGTGTCAGAGGACAGTAAGAGAAGATTTTTTAAAAACTTCTTCATCAAGCTTTTACTAGCTTGTTCTAACTAGGCGTAGGCTAGCTACTAGGAATTGCAGATAAAAGATATCTCTGAAGAGCCAAATTTAATGATGAGTCAGCCTCTTTACATAAACCACCCATATAATCTACAGTTTGAAAAAGAGATCCTAAAATTAAAGTGCTCAAAGTCTCAATTTGGCAATGTAAGCACAGGTTTTCTAACCTTTTGTAGTTTCCTAGGAGAAAGGTCTTTAACACGTTAGGATTTGACTTTTAATCAGACACGTGACACATGAAAGCATCAGTTAACATACCTGTGATATAACCTTCTAAAGCCTTTGGCACCAGAGACTTAGCAAGTTTCAGGTCCTCCAGAGAGCACTTGCCTGACTCCAAGCCAAAGGACATTCCCATCCGCTTCAGTACTTCTATGTCATCATGGATTTCAAAAGTGTTGTCGAAATTAAAAAGATATTCAAACCTGCATCAGGAAATAAAGTATGGGCTTTCAGTGGTACTGGAGAGGTCTGAATAGTTACATAGTCTATTCTAACTAATAGAATGGGGCTTAAATTCAGCTATAGTACTAAAAATTGTTACCATTTATAGCTATGAGTCATTCTACCGTGTTCAGAGGAATAGCATGGCAATTAAGTCACACTTTCAATTAGAAGAAGATTCTTGCAACAAATACGAGTCCAGGAGTCAGTAACCTTAGCTCTAACACTGTTACAAATAGGAGACAGACATTTTATTCTAAATGTAAAACTTTGCCAAGTTGTCTACAATTTTGCCACAAAAGAAATATCTTTCTAGTTTAGTAATACGATTATCTCTACTGTGAGTTGGTTATAATCTACTGTGAGTTGGTTTACTAGCATTGACAAAACATTTTGAATGCTTACTTCATTTTCAGGAATCAAGTGTTAGCTACTGCATACTTTTATTTATACATATTTTTAAGAGACAGGGTTTCATTTTAAGAGACTCAAACTCCTGGGCTCAAGCAATCTTCCTCCCTGGGCCTTCCAAACAGCTGGGACTACAGGTGTGAGCCACTGTGGCCAGCAACAGACTATACCAGTCCTTTGGAACCCGAGGCCACACCCTGGGGGTTATGTTGTTATGAAATTCTCTCTATAAAAATCATGTGAGGAATTTTTTTTATTTTTTAATTTATTATTTTTTTAATTTTTGCAGTTTTTGGCTGGATTTGAACCCGCCACCTCCAGTATATGGGGCTGGCGCCCTACTCCTTGAGTCATAGGTGCCACCAGAAATATTTTTTTAAAGACA